TGGAGAATGCAGGAACAGTGGCTTTGCAACACCTAAAAGTTTGCCAAGAAAAAGGTCCTAAATTCGACGGCTAAAACTTTTGATACTTTTATTTGTAGGCAAAGACGTCAACTACAAACTCCTTCCCGACCAAAATTTCTGATAAAGCCTAAAGACCAATCATACCACGAAGGAACTGCAGCACGCATTGTCTGTCAGGTTCCTTTTGAGACTAACCAGTAACGTCTTTGTAGGGACGATCACCCAGTTTTTATCAATATCCCCCTAAACGTCTTCCTATTAAGGCATTTGGGCACCCAACTCCAAAGATAAAATGGTTTTTTGGTGGAAGAAAATTTAATTTCTCAAGGAAACACGAATTCAGCAATAGGAAAACAACTCTTATAATTACACCATTCTTGGAAATAGATGCTGGAAGGTTCTCTCTTTAAGTGACGCAAATAATATACCACCTGTTTTCCGATACTACAAAAAAAAAAAAAATGAAATTTGGCTATAACCTCAAAACTGTTTGCTCAAATTATGGTGGCTAAACCCCTAAGAACAGTCGACATTTAGATGCACATGTACCGCGGAAAACGTTTTTGGATTCAGTGAGGCTTCAGCAATGATTGGGATTCTCCCCAGTGTTCCATCTCAAATAACGGATGAACCAAAATCAGCAACCGCTTCGGAAGGATCAATGGTAGTACTTCGATGCCGTGCTGTTGGAAGTCCCCAATCAACGATCACTTGGGCTTTAAATGGAAAAAACATACCTATAGTTAAAGGAAATCAAACTGTAAATTAAGCTCCATTAATTTTTATTCCGCTACATAAAAATCAAAGCTACATTCCTCACAGTTTTTGATGGCGATGTAAATATTTTTAACCAAAAGGTGTCGGCAGATGGAACAACTTTAACTTTGGCTGGAGTAACAAAGGCAGATTCCGGTGTATATACCTGTATGGCAGGAAATATAGTTGGCTCAATGACTGCTGATGCTGGGTTGACAGTAGCTGCTTCATCATTCAAGCATCCGACGAACACCCACCAGTAAGTTTTTGAAACACTTTCAGAATCTAGTTTTGGGAGGCAGAATTTGCTCAAAATTCCCTTTTGTATCAAACACAAACATTAAAGATAAGGAACTCTAATCTAATATTCAGATCTTTACAGGAAGCCTCAAGCCCGTAAGCAAAAGTTGTCGCCTATTACTTCGCCTCACGAACTGTTAAAATGGTTCCGGTTTGTAACCTCAGCCGCCGGTAGACTCAGTAGAGTTCGTGAAATTTATGCAGAAAGCATACAGTTGATACAGAAACATATGGAAAAGGGTTGAGTTTTCACCTGCATAAAAAAGAGTAATTTAGCTGGAAATTCAAAAGTGTATTTATTGCAACAGCTTCTAAACAACATCATCTGGTTTAATCACTTTTTCAAGTCTTAAGCTATCGCTACAGGAGGTGGCTAATAAAGCATCCTTTGACATTTTGCTGCCGCAAACTCATACAGATACACTGGTAGAATTAACAGGATGCTCAGTCACGTCAACTAGGGATCCCTGTGTAGATGAGTGTTACCATTTGCAGTATCGGTAAGGAAGGATATTATATTAATAACGACACTGTGCTGAAAATCTGCTTACGGTTAGCGTAATTTTCAGTGCTGCCACAATGTATCAAAGTCTTAAATATAGCACAGATTTCTAAGAGCAGTACGTCACTTACTTGGAATAGCTGTCATTTTTCAGCACGTTTGACGGCCAGTGCAATAATCGAGAACATACTAAGTGGGGCTCTAGTCACACACCATTTCGTAGAATACTCCCACCTATTTATGAAAACGGTTTCAACACGCCCGTTGCCTGGGATCCGCATCAGCTTTATTGTGGCTATTCAAAGCCTAATCCCAGAGCTGTTTCCCGATCGGTGAGGGACAATAATTAATAGCACAGAGGCAAATAAGAACAACCTCTATTGAATGATTTAAACAATCAACTTAGGCAAACACAGTTAGTCTCAGTCCCAAGTTTTAGGTTTTTGGAGTCAATTCAATTACGCCACATGAAAACCTATCGTCTTTTGTCATGCAATGGGGTCAGTTTATCGGTGGGTTGACACTTTATACTCAAAAAATGTAATAGTAAATTGAAATAAACAGTCGTATAACGATGGTAAAATCACTAGTAATGAAATAGTCTAGATCATGACATCGACTTCATCGCACCGGCTGTCCCACGAGACGTTTTTAAAAATGGAGAACTCTGTAACAGAACATGTGAAAATGCTAATCCCTGTTACAACATACAGCTGCTACCGGGTGATCCTATAATGAGGCCCAGGTCATATTTAAGATCAGTTAGAAATCACTGTAGGAAAATAATGTCTCTAGCTTGTGGGAAGATTTTTTTGACAAAAAGCAGACCGACGTTAAAGTGAAGAGGAAATTATAGGTCTACCATTGAAAAGTTGCACATTTTTGATACGATATTCCGTTTATTAAAGATAATTAGCCCTTAGTGCTAGTTAAAAGCTAAAATTTAGCTCTTTGAGTAGGTTTCAAAGACTAGCACCAAAGACATTCTGGGGATATTGATATTAAGAAGTTTTTTTATTCAAAGCATTTTCCATCACAGTACATTGGGCGCAGGATAAATATGTATGATAAACCGCATTTAAAAGTTAAATTTTTGAAAGATAACAGCGAGATATAGGATTCAACCTGTTTGGCTAAATGTCGTGTAAATTATCTCTAAATTTAACTGCAGATTGTACTCGAGAGCTCGAGACGCTAAAACAATAAGTAACAGTAATCTTAAAAGTACAATCTGTTTGCCATTGAAGAGTTGTTTAAAGGTGCCTACTGCTATGTGCAGTAGACGAAACAAGGCTTATAAAACTAACTCTTATATGATTTCTTGTTATGTTAGTATTTTTCTCTACTTTATACGCATGCAGTTGAATTAAACAAAAAATTCTACTTTACTGTCAAGTTGTAAATTTGCAGATAACTTAAGTCTAATGTTTCTAGTTTGATTTCTTTACACAAGAAAGTGAACATTTTTCACGAACTATGTCACTTGTAACAATTGCTGTAATCTACTAATTTAGAACTCGGCACCACTGTATGGAGTTTGAACGCTCCAGTCCGGTATGCGGTTCTGGAGAAACATCATTAATCTATGGACAGGTCACATATCGAGAGCAAATGAACAAGGTAATACAGTGCAAGAAAAAGAAACTAGCTTGCCGATAAAGCTTTACTCCTAGTTCAGTAATAGTTGTCTAGGCACAAAAATTAGAATAAACGCAGTTAAACGTACAAAATTCTATTTATGAACAAGTTTCAGCCCGCAGAGTTTCTGATAATCTACCGCTGCAGTAACCAATAAAAAAATATTCTGACAAAAACAATATGAACAAAATACATTAGTTAAGCAGGATCCTCTAAATAAACGCATAACTTATTTAGTGAATTTCAGTTAACAAGCTACATTGATGGGTCGGCCATTTATGGGAGCACAGAAGAAGAAGCATTGAAACCTCGTGATCTAATTTCTAACCGAGGATTGCTTAGGTCAAATTTTTCCATTAACCCCCTACTTTTCTTTTCTGTCTACCTGGAACTGTTTCATAATCAATAACATAAATGTAATAAATTAATCAAAACTAACGTAGTCTGACCTGCAGGAAGAACTTTTCAGGTATGATATATTGTCACAGGCGCGAAAACCATATCTACCATTCGATACCGACTTCAAGATGGACTGTAAAAGAAACCAGTCAAAGACTTATTCAGTGCGCTGTTTTCTCGCTGGAGATGTTCGAGCAAATGAGCAGGTCGCTTCTTATTCAAAAAACTTCTCACATCATGTACCATATGATATATAGTATATATTATTCATTACTTGTTATGATTATGCTTATTTTATGATTATTTACTTCAGTTATCAAAAAAAAAAAACAGTGACAACGTACTTTTAAACATCATCGCTTTGAAGCAGTCATGTTGAAGATATATAAAGTTTTTACTTTTAGCTCGGACTGCTTAGTATTCATACAGTGATGATGAGGGAACATAATCGTGTGGCACTGAAATTGGAGCAACAGAATCCTCGGTTGGATGGCGAAACACTATACCAAGAAAGCAGAAAAATTATTGCTGCTCAAATGCAACATATCACTTTTCAGCACTGGCTCCCAAAGATACTAGGAAAAGTGGGAAAGTTCAAATAATTTTGAGTACTTTTCACATCTTGAATGCAAAGCTCAGACTTTCTTCACCCTGACTCTTGAAGACAGTAATGTCCAAGATAAGAGAATCATTTTAACAAAACTACATGTAAATAAGGCGACATTATAAATTTCTGGTACTCTAATCCAAGATGCTCTAAAAAACCATTCTCAAGTAGGCAGTAGATACTTTTTACTTCTATGACAAACCTTTAATATTGAATTTCTTAAAAAATAAGTAATTAAAATGCAGTCATCAACAGGATAATTATGAAAAAATGATCGGGCCTTATGACGGCTACAAACCTGAAGTTGATGCTAGCATATCTAACGCATTCGCTACCGCAGCTCACCGTTTTGGACACTAACTTGTCAACCCATTCTTATACAGATTATACTATTCTAATTAACATCTAACAAAAGCTAAAAAACCAGTTTTTTCCCTTTACAGTACCTGTTGAGTATGTCGGCTATTAGGAGCAAGTTTTTTGGAAAGTACTTCTTGATTTACAGATTCAAAAAAAACTTCACGCAGTATTCTAAAGGTCATATACCATTACGAGATGCATTTTTTGCACCAGAAATAATCGTATCAGACGGTATTGATCCGATTCTCAGAGGACTTTTTTTGTCCACAATGAAGAAACCTTTACCAGAACAGATAGTCAATCAAGAATTGACAGATAAAGTGTTCCATAAAGCCCATGACGTTCGTTACAGAAAATCTCTGCGGAAGTTGTAAAAAAACTAGTATTTAAGACTGAACAGTAATATATATCTGTAATATATATCTTAATATATCTGTAATCTTTAGAAAGTATTCCAAAGCAACTCCATTTAGGCCCCACTCGATCTGATGTCGATAAACATTCAACGAGGACGTGATCACGGCCTACCAACGTAATGGATTATTTCAGTTGTAACGCTGACAGTAAGGAACTGATTTCAATAACGCAGTGCACAAGATCTTTCAAGTTGTCTATTTTCACAAGTTTGGCTCATGCACTTTCTCTATACACCAAAAGCAAAAAATCTCCTTTCAGCTATACAGAGTACAGAAAATGGTGTAATCTGGCTGGATTTAAAGAGCGAGGTGATTTACAAGGAACAATACCAAACCATATTATTGTAAAACTTCGCAAACTATATGGTCATCCAGGTTAGCTTCCAATACTTCTACTTCTTTCTTTATATCCCGTTACTCCGTTCTTGGGTCCAAGAAGACCAAAAAAATTATTCCCTTTCATATGCTTCACTTAAACGACTTTGAATGGAACACTGATCTGTTTGTCGGAGGAATGTCTGAAATAAGAGAAGGGGACAGCCTAATTGGGCCAACATTTAGATGTATTATCGCCGAACAGTTCCGACGAATCCGTAGTGGCAATCGCTTCTGGTAAACAAGTTACTGTAGATCAAGAGTGATAAACAGGAAATGACGCAAAAGCTTGCCTAAAGAAAAGCTTCTTCTCTGACCATTTTATTAGCTTTAGATTAAGAAAAATTACAGCAGAAATTAGTTCAGGTACGAAAATGAAGGGGTATTCACACCGGAGCAGTTAAACAAAATAAAAAAAGCACATTTGGCCAGAATTTTTTGTGATAATGGTGACGAGATTGACCAAATACAGGTAAATAAAATGATTTTTTAGGTGGACATTTTTCTTCTGTGATAAGTATGAGTAGATTTTCCAGAAATGAAAATTACTGCATCATACTACTACAAGGCCTGCACCAAATTACCGCTTCTCTTTTTCCATATATGAATACCGAACTTCAAAATTTCTAAATTTTCTTTCCATGTGCCAAATTTTTAGAGAAACTTTTCCCCAAGGCACTTAAATATGCTTAAAGTGAGAAATGTTTTTTAGAAAGATGCCTTTGTCTATGTAGGCTCTCAGCTGGAAGATTTTGAACATTGTTCAGATTGGCCAAAAATTGATTTTACACCATGACGACGATGTTGTTACCATAAATGCCATTTCCGATACAGACATTACAGGTCAGACGAAAGATATAGTTCCTACAAGAAACCAGTATTATATCAGCTATTATTCAAAACAACTCGACTTTCCTCTCTCACAGTTAAAAGTTTTATTGCAGAAGACGACGTTTCACCGTCGATAGCTGTCTCCACAAGGGAAATCTTTATCATAACAAACAGATATGGAAAGACTCATACCTAACCTGTACTTGTCAGGTAAACGTAAACAATATTCACTGAGACGATAAAATTTTAGAACTCTTCTGCTAACAAGTCCTGCAAGTTAATCGTCAAATAAAAATTTGAGCTTTTAAAAAGATTCAATTTCTGACGCCATCTGTTATAAGTAGTGACTGACTTCTCGTTTCAGAAAGGTAGAACACTGTGTCGCCAGAATCCGCAGTGCTAAAACTACTTTTATGGGTATCGACAGGACACCACTGTTTCTAAAACTGTTGCATATTTTCTTAATCCTTCCATTGGCTTTCAAATTGTTTTCAGCTTCCTAACGCCAACCTTTCGTGCTTCCCTTTCAAGTTTTGAATGCTGGACACAAGTCAAGTTCCTTGTCCAAGAAAACATGACCAATAAAATTTCAAATTATTATGCAAACCTCAGGTATTTTCACCCGAACAAAACGTTAATAATAGCCAACAAAACAAGTATCCAAATTAAGCGCATAAAGCTCTTTGACAACAGTTGATCCAGTAATTGATTCGTTTTTTAAAGAAATTTTATGTTTAAATTAAGACTCAAAAGGAGTAGTGGAGGAACAAGAAAGCCGAAATTGCACAGTTCATCAGACAATCGTGTAATAATAAATAATGGAACTTAGAGAAAGCAATAATTCTTATTATTCATTTTACTATGCAGTAAAGAAAAAAAAGAGATTTACAAATCAGCTATTAAAATCACAGATCTTCGTATGAGAAAACAAAAAAATACCTGAGAGACGACACAATTGGCCATAACAGTAACAGCAAAATAAAACTGAATGATATGATGATAAGGGGGTACGGGAAGAAAAATATGAGCAGCAGGCATTAAATAATTCCCTTCGATTTACAAAGAAAAGCCTTTGCTAAGATGTCCATAAAAAACTACAAATGACAAGCAGGTCAACATAACAAAACAAAAAATTGAGATCTTCGCTTATAAGAAAAAAAGAAGAAAAATATGGCTCATTGCAGCCAAAGATGAATGAAAGAATTGAATTACCCGTTTACTATAAATATGCTACACTTTTATTGATGCCAAATTTTACACTGGGCTAGAATATTCTGAATTCCAGTCTCGTGTAAAAACATCATTCAACATCTGAACAACGTCTGGTGCAATGAATGAAACACCAACCCCGGCAGTATTTATAAAATAATCTCCAACCCAATTAGATGTCCCTGAAGAAAGAAATTTTACTATAGAATTAAGGTTATGGTAAACTGATAATGAAAACCGATGATAACAGTGAAATTACGAAGGAAGTATTAAAACGACAATAAAAACACTAACCAACATAAGCCACCTGGTCGGTTACCATGTACTTATTATGATTTACTCGAGCAAACGACAGTTTCGCTTGTTCAGCATCACTTGGAACGGTAAACAGTTTCTAAAAATTTGCTTTTACTTTTCTTAATTAAGCAGAACAATATAAGGAAAAAGGGCCATGCAAAGCAGGAAAATGAGATTAATAAAGTATCTCACTGAGAACATTTGCAAATGTTTCCTTTAATGTAAAAAACTCCTAGAAACCGCTGCCCGCCCGTATGTTTTCAAAAGTCAATACTTGAGAAAAAAACCAAAAAGTTTTCCTCTCTTTCTGCTTCATTTTGACATCCGAAGATCAATATCGCAACTATAAGATGAAAAATATATTGATAATACCATAAGGCTGCAAATTTGTGGTACTCTGTTGAATAAAAATTCAACTTTTGAAATGCAAAAGACGAAACCGCTACGCAGCCTTGTCAAAAAAAAGTACGCCTGACTGCACTCCAATACTTTTTTTAAAAATTAGATGCTCTTGTAACAAATCATAAAATAATAAAAGAGCAAGAAATTATTAATTGTTAGAAATACTAATACTCATGAGCAGCAACACTTATACACTAATATACGCTCTAATCTAGGCCAAACAAAGGGGAAAGCAAATATCAGTGTAGGTAACCTTCAAACTAATACTTTTCAGCATCGCATAAACAGTTTCATCAAAAACTAAGTTCCAAAATTTAGAGAAAAAAACAAAACTTCAATTCCTGAAACACAGGCAACTAGTTTCTGAACTCCCTACCAAATTCTGTAAAACACTGTAGATGCTAAAAGGCTTACCGCTTCAACCCGACCACTGAAATTCTTTTTATGAACAAAGGCATCATTGATGGCTATCAAAGATTTCAGATATGGAACAATTTCTACTCTAGAGTGATTCCAATGACTTATCAGCAGGCGAACTGAAACTCCATTATAAACAGCAGTACGTATAGCATCATCAATTATCGGCCAATACCTAAAGAATCATAAATCACCAAGTCTGAAAAGCAGATGACCAAAAATGATAAAAACAATACATATTATGGCCGTTAAAATAAACTGTTGTAGGCAAATAATCCATCACTGCTATATGTGCAAAAATTTTTGCACTCTTCAGAATAGCAGTAATAGCATCCACGTCATGCTCGCGACTTTTTGTATTGAAACTGTCGGGCGAACTCTGAAAAGGTACGCAATCAGGTCCCAATATTCCAAGATATTATTTTAAAAAAAGCAAAAAAGAAAAGACTATCAGTAAACTTGTAAAGAAAAAAGAATTCAGGAGAGAGAAGATCTCTGTCAAATAAAATTAGTGGCTAAAACAAAAAAAAGATTTTTGATGAGATCATCTGACCGAAATAAACGTTTGAGCCGGCTTTGAATTCAGAAATACTTTGAGTGGATGTGTAAAATTGAAATATGTCCGAAGATTCAAGGGCCATTTTACAGGAATTTTCGATGCTTCGCCACCAAGTCTCCAGTACACGGTAAATATTTTTGAGAAATCCGAAGCCATACATGAGCAATTTTTTATCAAATAACCCAATTCTTTTACCTAAAACTGAAAATGCTGTCAAAAACAAAATTGAGTCGTTTTACTTTTGGAAAATTTTAAAATCATTTGATTGCATTGAAAAGGCTTAACCAAAAAAAAGTCATCGCAAAAAAAGCAAAAAGAAGTACTTCGGTCAAAGATTTCCAATCCATATTTGCAGACCCCACATAGATATGCTTGTCATCAACAATCCACATTTTTGTGTGTAATACTCCACCACCAAGAAGTCGAACGAAATCCAAACTTCGAACTGATGCCTTACCTAAATTGTTTACCTCTCTCCCAACAGTGGTTTGCAAGTAATGAAATATTTTGTGATTGAGATAGACGTTCACTGACTGGCACCAGAAAAACTATGATTGAAACAATTACCTTCTTTGACAAGTTCCATCCCGTCTTCCTGAGGAAACTCTTTTGTTGGATTGTTCTGAGCAACCCTTAGCTGAAAAAAGTAGGTGAAATAAGAAATTAAGGAACTTAAGTTCAAGAATAAAATACTCGAAAAGGTCAGAAAAAAATGTGATTTCATTTTCAGCAACAACGTTCAGACAATTACTCAGCAATATGCATCTTCCTTTGAAAGAGCAGACAATCAAACTGCTGACTTACTTTAACACCACGGTTGCCAGCAGTCATTAGTCGATGGAAAATGTCTCGACCCTAAGTTTCATTAACTTAAATAACACGATCAGTGCTACTAGATGAAATTCGGCAATAATAAGGAAAAAATTTGGTCTTCGTTGTAAAACTCGAGAAGGATTTTCAACAAGGGATTTGAAAATAATATATTTTTGCACTGATTTTTGCTACTAAATTACTTCTATTTATTAATAACACTGAATATAGCTACTTTTAGAAAGTGTCTTCTAAAAATTCTTATTTCTCCTACACATACTCGTTTAAATTTAGTTTCAGTGACGTTTTGGAACTCCAATCATAATTTATTATTAGTGAGAATATAAAATAAATGTAATTACCTGCCACGAAGTTGAATAGTTATTACTGTCCCTAAGATTCCAATAAAAAACTGTAATATCAATGCTCCTTTCAGCTTCATCTAACAGCTGCTTCCATGCATCATAAGTTGACAAGTTTTCCGTGTAATTACCAAATGAAACATTGGTTGGTATTGTTTCAACAATCTGTACACTAAATTTTTTTTTTTTTGTTAAATTAATGACCATCAATAATTGTTCTATGTTGCAAATAAAACAGCGCTTAGTTGAAATGATCTGAACAACAGCTCTAAATGTTTAACCTGCATGTATCCGTACATTCGCCGGTACGTTCAAATCGTTGTATTGTATTGCCCAAAATTTCCTCATTTAACAGCGGATAGAAAACAATGGTAAGCACAACTAACGAAAGGATAGTTATTGGTACACAGGCCGGTTTGATTATACTATGTTCACAGCACTGCTCACTATCTCCTTCCTAGAACCGGGCAACAGCACTAAATTTGGGTACTATCCAACGCCTTGTTACTGTTTTTCACTCACCCTACTTCGCTCTCAACCACTTCAGTAGGCACAACTATACAGAAAAAGAAAAAGCTTTTTTAAAGTTACATATACAGCATCTTATAGTAGATTTGATTAAATTAAAAAATAAATCTTGTCAATTTTTTTAAAGTGAAATTTCATGCAAGTTACCCTCATTGAAGAATAAGAGTGCACTCTTGTGTCGATTAAGTCCATCTCGAAATTTGTGAGATCTGGACGGCCATCCTTCGTCTATAAATAATAGGCTTACGAAATTAACTTCAGAAAGGTAATAGAAAGAAGAAGGAGGATGAAAGAAAAAAATAGAAAAGAAAGATAGATTATAACTTAACTTTCCATGACGACTTATTTTTGAATCTAACTGCTTACTTTTGGTGCAACTATTTTTGCTTGATAGCATTTTCAATATGCGAGCCTTCATGCAAGTTACCCTCATCTCATCACCATCATCGTAATTATTAGTTAAACAGAGCAACCTTATTATCAGACTTGGCCATTTTGTTACCTTAATTGCTTTCTATTGCCAAAAGTGAGTGGAAATAGCTAAAGAAGTGCGGAAAATAATCAGGAACAAGAGAAGAAATTGGTGGTTAAGAATTCAAAAAATCTGGCAAAGCAAAAATAAAATTTCATTTCAGAATTATACCAGATTTTGTCTCAAAAGTCTTTATGCCACCTTCAAAATTTACTACAAAAAACGGGATATGCTTTCGGCAAAGTTATCCCAGTAGCAACTGACAAATTTTTTTTGATTGAGTGACAAAGTTGAGGTCCGCTGAAAGATAGCTGCAAAAAACAGCGAATGGAAAACTTTAATGTCTTGCTACACTTTTTTAAAAAGTAGAAGTTACTAACAACAAACTATTTCACTTTAATACCTACTGAACAGGTCGACACTGCTAAATGTCAAAAAATTACAGTCATTTTGCTAATATTAAGGAGGGAAAAGAGGGCATATCTGTATGCGAAATATGCATAGCCCAAACAATACTCCCATCTTTCAATGGTATTTATCAATATTTCCTCCTCAAGAGCAGAAACAAGATAATTACTTCACCGGCGAAAGGATCAAACAGAAAAAGCAGAAAAGAGCAATTAGTCTAATAGGAAATACAAAAAATTTTGCTCTCATAAGTGATTAGCAAAAAAAAAAAAAAGGAAGCTATGTATAGTAAGTATAAGATACGGTCGTTAGACAAAAACTAATCAAATAATGTGCAGATACTAATGATATTGAAAGTTTGAAAATAGAAGAACAAATTTTACAAAGAAAAACAAATAGGCAAATAGATGAGATAAACTTAAGCGAAACAACACAAAAAAAAAGCAGTTCAGAACTGAAACTATTCACTTACAAAGTCGCCTTGATCATCCTTCAACAGTGCCATATCAAGACTGCCAGATGCATTATCCATAGTTAAGCAAAATTTGTCAGAAGTTTTTTTTGCCAAGCAAAACTTCAAACAATTTTCTGTTACAGCAATAGAACCCAAAATACAAGTCAGCGGCACAGTATTTTGAAGATAGAAGAAAAGATAGAAGAAAAAAAAAAAGAAATGGAAAGAATTTTTTAGTTTTGTTAACTATGTACTCTGCAGTTGAACTGCTGAATTGCATATGACAAGCTTCTGTTCAATTCTAAAGTATATACGTAAGTTACTGTTGGTTTAAAGTAATTTTTTTTTTTTTTTTGGAATGTTCGGTAAGAAAAAAGAAGCCATTGAAAGTGTTAGGCAGCTTTAATCGCTTAAGACAACAGAAATACCTATCCATTTTTCAGATGTTGTTTTCTACGCTACAACCGGTTCTCCTTTTTTTTTTTTTTTTTCTTTATTGGTATGGTATATCAGAGATATCACATAATAAATGTCTTTAGTGTTGACTTACACTTACAGAGATGAATGGTCTTTTTTTTTTTGTTTTGTTTTACATAAATCTCTTATACTATTTGATGATTGTATGATTATAACAAAAAAGTGGGAAAAAACTACAGACAGATAAATAGGAAAAAATTTTTCGGAAATAACACTTACAGCAGCACAATCTTTACGGCTCGATTTTTGCACAAACCAAAAAAAAGGAAAAGGAAAAGGAAAATAACAACAGCAAAATTTTATGGATGACTTGTGCGATAAACGAAAAGAATAGCTACCAAATTTAAGCAAAAATAGAAACCGAAAGAAAAAAAAAA